AACAAGTCTGGCCTCTCTTTGTGATCGAAATATTTTCTAACGCTTGGCAACGCTGCCCGAATATTTCGTCTCGATCGATCCCAAACTTTGCTCGGAAACTAAACTGTTCCGAAAAGAAGAAAATACGAAAACAAAGACCGTCCAAGATAGCGACAAATGTGCATCGTTGTTGCATTTAAAAAAAAAATGATCAGACTCTTGTTCGAGCAAGAAACGGACGGATCAATGACGAAACTCTAGCGTTCGATTACCTTTCGATTCGTTGAAACGGGCAGATCTTACGCCTACGACACGGGAAAAACGGTTCGTCTCAAAGGACTTGTCCTGCTATTTTTGGAAACGCACGACCAGCGTATTTTTTGTCTTTGCTTCTTTGCACAGTCTCACGACCTTCGGGCCGCGCGTTCCTGCGTGTACACGACCGACACACGTGCATACGCCTTGTTCCTCGTCGTGTACACAAAAGTCAACGCGCGTTCCGTCGCGGCTCGCACGGAAAATGTCAATTTGCGAAGCGAATTACGATAGCCTGCCTTGCGCAATACGCTCGCCTGCTAGACTCTTTGCCAAGTATCGGTGTTTGTCTTTCGTCCAACTTCCTCCGAATTCGTATTCGAAACATCGTTACGTTCGTATCCTGTCTCGTGGTTTCGAAGGTGAAAATATTCGAGGAGAATATGTACAGTTTATGTACAAAAAAAATGTTAATAAAATCTGTCGTTTACCCCTTGGTGTGCAACAACGAGTCCGACTTTGGTAAACTTCTCAGGATGATGATCAGGTGTTCCACTACCGTGTCACCTGTTGCACTTGTCATGAAACATACTTGTTTTGTGGTATTTTTCATAATTGGTGCGCATCTTGAGTTGGCATCGGTGAAGGGAGCTTTCTAAAAGCAATTCGGTCGCGCGATAACACCGGGAACCGAAGCTCTGCTCCGTGACGAGCGACTATACAAAGGCCTTTGTACGATTTCGTGGCGCAAGGAACGCAGAAGCCGGGGTATCGGTCAGAGCCCCCGGCGTGAACGGCTTTATCGAGCGCGCGATATAATACGCTGATAAAACGCCTATCAACTTTCGTGTAATTCGCTGCCCGTATTTTTTATCCCCTTTGCGCCACTTTTACAAGCGCTGCGCGACCCTCGTCTTCCAGTCTGCCGATTTTCCTTTGCTTTCGATTCGTAATTATCTATATTATACATAATAATTTATTATTTGAAACATTAGGCTAGCATACGTATCGTGCAAAAGTATTTAAATATTTTAGCGGTAAAGTCGGATGAATTTGATTTGCTCCGAAAATTCTTGTTCCCTCTGTAATTGTTCAAGGTCCCTCTCGAACGACGAAAAACGATACGGCTCGGGAACGTTCTCCGACTCGGCCACGAGACCCATGTAATTCGTAAAGTGTTGTAATAATAATCGAGCGCACACGGCAAAAGGTGTGTGGCAACGCGACTCGTGCGAGTTTCACAAATGGGTCACTCGCCGACACACTGGTAGCCGCGCGCCTGCGTTCCAGGCCGTTTCGTATACGTTTGGAAATATATTTATCGTCGCTTACGAAAAACTCTCTCCCTCTCCGCCCTTTTCATCCTGCGCGCACGGCACGCGCGTTGAATTTTTAAAAACCTCTACCGTCCTCGTCGTTGCGCTCTCGCTGCTAAAAAATTACTCTCTCGGCAGAGAGTCTTTTGAATTCCGTCATATTAAAGAAATAGTAATTTTTAAAACAAAAGTAAAGGCCAAGTAGAATAATCCAACGGTTAGTAAATGCCCGACGCGACGCGTAAAACGCAAACTTCTAGTCTATACACTAAAAGTACGGTCGATATTCCCGCTTCGAGGCGACCGCCATGCAGGTTCTTCGGCTTTATCGAGCATCCGGTGCGCACTGGGTCATCGAGCACAGAAGACTCTAGCCGTGAAAGACGCGATTCCTGGATCGAACGCGACTTTGAATCGTTCCAGGAACGAGAAACGAACGCACCCGGCAATTTATCGCCCTCGCGGCGCGATTGTATTTAAATTCGCTCGAAATTGCCGCCATTTGTTCCATACCGGAAGGCCATTTCGGCGCCAATGGATCGATAAATTTCGCGCGTCTCGAAGCTTGGAACGTGCCTGTTCCGAACCTTACGTAAAATCGAACCGACGCGTTGCCTTACTATAATTCTACTCGTTGTTCGGTTTTAGAAAAGGTACGTTTATCGATGAAAGCACAAAGTACAGCGAGAGTTTCGACGTTCGTTAAAATTAAAGCCCGAAACGTAGAAGCGTTCGATGTATCAATTTGATAAGGTCTTGGCGTTAAACGGAGCGGAGAGAGAAGCGAAAGAAAATAAAGAGTTGGATGCAGCGTCTGCACGCAGAGGCTGCCGTTTCAGAAGCTCGGTGTGTTCTCGAGCCTTCTCTAAACGACGGACGCCAAGGGCCCAAGCTTCCAATTAGGCTTCGTTACGAGTACGCTTCGAGGTCTCTCATTGGCCGTAAAGCTCGCGAGATAACGCTCGAGAGTCGAGTTTTTCGCTGTGCCTTGCAAACGAGCAGACACTACGGCGAAAACGCTCTCAAGAACCCTCTTGCAACGGCCGTCGTATCGTCCAACGATTCGGGACCCAGCTACACCCAACAAGTTCCGCGTTCTTGTCGAACAAATCGGCCGAAAGTGAACGCAACATATCGTTTCCCTCTCAAAACTAGACGCGTTGTTGAAAGGCGTTCGAGCCTATCGCGACCTTGGAAATCCTTGAAAAAAACCCCGAAAATGTCTGGTTGCGGACACCTCGAGGGCCGTTAATTAAATTACGCTCTCGGTGGGAGGGAGGGAAGCGCTTCGGTACTCGGAGTGGCGCGCAATTAACGCAGACCCCGAGACAAGGGGCTGACTTTAATTAACCGGCGACCGACTGAGATCGTAACGAACGTTTCCCTCCTGCGATCTGGGATATCGTGTAAAAATTTACTCTTTAGGAATTTCTAGCAACTGGAATTAAAAATAATTTTCAAAGATGCACGTTTAAGAGGAACGTCAAAGTCACGGTACGAACAATACATCTCGAAAGCGACGAGGCGACGTCGATTGCGAGAGAGCTCCAAGTTCAATATTTTGTCCAACGCGCTGTTGACTCTCCGATCGAGAAGTAAGTGCATGTGCGCAGCAGCCTTCGGTAAATAATCAGCTTCGTTCAAGGCCGAACCTGCTGTCGGCAACAGGGTTCTCCACTTTGCAGCAACCTCGCTGTTTGCGCTTTGCAAAATATTCTTTGTCTTTTTCACCGAGGCGAACTGAACGAACAAAAACTGGTTGCAAACTGGAAGCTGCGGTTAAGGGAGTTCGTCGAGAGTAACCGGAAACAAGAGGGACTATAAATAATGGCGCGACAATTGAAAAAATCTAACGGCCTGACTGTATCGACGCTTCGCGTTGCGTTACCTGCTCGAGGAAGTTTCGCACGCGGGAAATAAGAAACGAGACGGTGCACGAGGCAACTGGGGAGTAGAGACTAAAATGCAACGGACATCGCAACAGCATACAAGGGTAGAGAAAACCCCAAGGGAGTGACAGGAAAAAAGTGAGAGAACAACAGAGGAGACTGCGTCGAGAGTTAAAGGATGCCGGATGACGAGGAAAATGGAGGCTCCAAGAAGAGCGTGTCTCGCGTACGTTAATTAAAAGTGCTGCAAAGGAAGTCGCCAACTAAGAAGGGCGAGGCTGAATGAAAACAGCTGCTAGTCGATGACGACACGGTCTAAGATCGCGCTCAACTTCTACCGAGTTTGCTCGATACGATCGTCGCCGTTAGCACCTCTATTTTCGCGCATAAATATAAACCGACGCCCACCGCCCAAACGGAACATCCATCGACTCCTTCCTTTCCCTCCATTCCGGTTCTTATTTTCTCTTCTTTTCTCATTCGACTTCCTACTATTCGATGGAAGCACATTCTTGCGATTCCATATCGTTCTCGTTTCCCAATACCCTCGGAGTTTGAGCTTGCAAATTCGGGTTCGACGCTAAAAAAAAATCGACTAGTTTAAGAATTCAGATTCAGCAAAAAATACTTTTGCAGGCCAGGGAGAGGACGTCGAGAAATTTCTTCTTCGAGAAGGCGACGCAATCGTCGCGGCGCGGCATTCTCGGCACGACTGTGTAGAATTGCGTTTCCGAACGTGACCGAATTTCGTTTCGATTGCGTCCGAGCCGTAAAATTCTCGTAAAACGGTGGGCTTCTCGATGGTCGAAGCGCGGAACAATTAGTTATCGAACTGTGCGAATTCGATCGATCTTTTTTCGATAAACTTAAGTGGTCGACGATCGTGTACCATTTAGCTCCAAAGAGAAGGTATTTTTTTAAATTTTCCGACTGAACCATCCACAGGATCGAGATAGATCTTTGTTACTATCGCGTTACTGGCCGCTGACGTCATCAGCAAATTGAGCGTTAAAAAGCTATTAAATTCGCACGAAAACCCAAGTTGGAATAACGCGAGAATAGTTACTTTGGCTGCGTGACAATTTATTTCTCGTCCTACCGCTACTACTTTTTCATTTATGCAAACTGTACATGTGTGTTGCACGTACGTATATGCCAATGTGCTATACGATCGGCAAAGTGTCAAGTATCGCGTAAACTATCGAGGCCCGGAAGTGGAAACGCGATTTTTAACAAATGGAGTTTTTAATGCTTTTTCTTATAACATATCGCCGTTGTCTTTTCGTTGATAATTACGAGTCTCTTTAAACATTTTTGTCGCATTTCCTTCTGTCGAAATAGTTGACGATCAGTGACGTTTCCACTTTTAAAGAAGGAACCGCGAGGCAAAAGGCGACAAGATTGGAGAAAACGTCGCGGCAACGATACCTCCGCATGGTCGACGTAGCGCGCATCTCTTCGATTTCCTACGAATTCGATCGAGCCGGCTTGCCAGCCACGCGACTCTCGAAGGGAATGGTAAGAATAAACGTACGTCCGTTTTAGGCTAAAGGTTCTGTACCTCGTGTCTTCATTTTTGCTTGCTACGAAACGGTCCAGTCTGAAAGAAAAAAAATACAAAAGGAGTCATTCAACGCGTGTCTCTGACACAATGTTCAATAGATCCTACGTATCATTTCGCGTCGTTCGCGGATTTATTTCTTGTTCGCGCGAAAGTACGCCTCGAACGTTCGTTGGAAATTCAATTTCAGAGGTGTTCCGTTCGACCGACTCTCTTCCTTCGCATTGCTTGTCAATCACCTTTTCTCTGATACGAGTGCGACAATATACATATTTAAGTTAAAAACAAAAACATATCAACATTCGATCTCATCTCTATCAAAGGTTCTACGATTTTTACATAAACTTGATCGTTTTCCCCCAGTGGGTGGGTGGGTGGTGGGTGTGCTCGCTCGCGTGCCGTACGAGGACGAGCAGCTAAATAATTCTTTGGCATCGACAAATACAGACAGCCTAGAATCACTGAAATTGCAATCGATCTTCGACATCCAATAATTATACGGGTCGCGATACAAAGTGTTTCGCGGTAGTCTGTACGAAATAATACAACGTACACTTTGGTTAAATATTTTCAAACTATTTAGGAGAGGGTAACTGTCTCCTTCCGAGTCGTAGCATCTTGTCTATTTCCGTACATTTAGACACAGGAGAACAAATGGACATCGGAACGTTCTCGTCGGTATCCGGTCGCTCAAGTTCCACGTTACGACCAATATTCGAGGAGAGGAAATGTTCGCGTACGTACGGTACTAGCGGAGCGCCAGGCTGGTTTAATTAATTTCGCCGCTTTGAGGGACGCGGAAAGTGGCCGCGCCTCGAATTTAGGACGCGTAGTCGGCGCGGCCGTGTTTTCTGAAAAAGCAAAAGAGCACTTGTCTCGTCGTCGGAGCGTTCCCTCCTCCGTGCTGTAGAAATTTTAGAATTAACGACGCCGCGCCGCGCCGTGGCGAAAAGGAAATGCTTCCCTTTCGAGGGGTGTTCCGTTACTAAAGAACAGTGTACCACACAACACGTGGTGTAACGCACACACGCCACCAGTTGACCGGGTGTGTATTTCGAGACGAGGCCTTCGCGGAGCACCGGCAAACGAAACGGAACCAGACCTAATCCCTTCAGCTGCGATGGAAAGTTTAGATGAAAAATAAACCGAATAAAAAATCAAAGTAAAATCAAGCAGAATTCCAAAGAATCGATGACATTTTTAACTCCCGGAGAGTGGACAACTGTTCGCCACCGTCGTTATCGGTACTTTTTTCTTCCAGCGACCTATTTCGCTCGCAATAATCACTGGAACAACCCATTCAGCGTGATTACGCGATGTACGGTACATACAAGTAACGTCGGTCCGTGGAAAATTGTGTTGCGGTATAGTTAGACGTGGCCTTAAAGCTATCAGATCATTTCGAGTCCATACGAAAACAGACGATAATGAGAGATCGATCGATCGAACGGTTCTGGAGTGAAAACAGGTGTCTCTGCAAATGGACGCTCTCGGTAAAGATCGCGGAAAAGAAAAGAGGCCCTTGAAGAAAACGCGAACATTATCGGTCGATCTACTTTGTAGGAAACGCGAGTTTCGAAATGCGAGCGACCACTTGGAGGAAAAGCGATTGCAGTTTTCCACGCGGTCACTTATCGAACAATGAACTCGCGACTAGAATAACCGAAGAACCTCTGACAGTGTCATCGTCGCTACTATTCGAAGCCTCTTCGAGGAAACGGATCTCTGTTAGCTGGTCGCGTCATGCCAGTCACGCTTGTATCTCGAAAGACCATTGTCCTGTCTACATGCTCGCCGAATATTACCGTTCTTGGCCGAGTATTATCATATTCAGGAAGTCCCTCGACCGAATACAAAGTGGGTGTTCGATATCGAGAGTTTCTCGCGAATTTTCGACCCTCGCGAGTCACGAGAAACATGCTCCGATCCCGTAAATTCTGACACCGAATCCAACTGTCAATCGTTTAGTCTATTCTCTGCTTCGATACGCATTATTCTACGCTACGCACCAAAATGTCCATCTTTCGACCGCTGTAAGATGCTTCTTTTCGCCAAAAATTTTCAAACGACTCCACGAAGTTTAATAAATATTAATCGGACCCTTGATCTTTCGGTGCGTAGTGTGTGTACAGAGCAAAGAAATGTCACGATATATCGTAGAAAGGGGATCACGTTTCGATGTCTACGGTACTGACTCAAGGTGGAGGTCATTACACCCAATAAACTCTCGTCACTCGTTGATCGAGCACATGACTAATCGACGCGTGCATCGCATCGCCGTCGTCTCGAGAGAGAGCTCGATATAGAGAGGAGAGAGAGAGAGAGCAGAGAGAGAGGAGAGAGAGAGAGAGAGAGAGAGAGAGTATCGCTCTCGTCGACGAGGACGTCTAGATAGCTATCTCTCTCTCTCTCTCTCTCTCTCTCTCTCTCTCTCTCTCTCTCTCTCTCTCTCTCTCTCTCTCTCTCTCCTTTAAATATACCAGTCAACCGATCTTTTATCCAGAAAAAAAACTGCTCCTCTCGCGATCTACGTAGCCACAGAAATTTTATCGAGCACACGTTCGCCCTATCTGGCTATCGATTCAATTATTTCGATATTCAATCTTTCACACCTTAGTATAGACTGTGTCAGCACTGACAGTACACGACGGATGTTCTCTTCCAACACATTGCTCGGCAAACGCTGAATGTGGGCGGCTATAAATCTAATACTGTAAACGGTCGTTACAAATATCGTATTAAAGCCGGTTCGCAATACGGCTGACGTCAGTGTCAAGTCAGCCGACGCGAAATTCTTCCTTGAACTCACGCTTACGTTGAAAGAAGAGAAAAATGGTTCGCTATTTCCTGTCACTCGCAACTTGCAGCTTTTGCGATATAGAACGCTGGTAATTTGGAGTTTCTTTGGGTCTTGGAATCTTACGTTGCTTCTTCGCTCTGTGCGCGATATTTGAAAGGCCGTGTCCGTAACGGATACATTGTTTCTACCGACAAACAACAACACGCACTATGGCCGACCAGAGACAGCACGCGTTACAACTTGATCGTTTATTCCGTGGCTCGTCGTGATCCCTACGCGCGCGCACATACGTACTTCTGACGTTTATCGGGTCGAGCGCGTTCCCGAGTTCGCCGCTCCCGTTTTGTCGTTAAACAACGAGCAGCTGTTCCGCGAGCCTTTGCCTTCTCTCTACGCGAGAACATCGACGCGAAAATCACCGACACGCCTAGGAAACATTACTGGACCCGTTTATAGCTGCGATGACAACCTTTATTCGTTGTCCTTCGGTAACGTGACATTGCCGGAGATCGCACGTTACGCAACCAACGCAACGGTGAGAATTAAAAGGAATAATGAATGAGAGAAAGGGAACTCTTGCGTCGTGACCACGATCTATCAAAGTAATCGTACGCGTTGAACGTGCCGGGGATCGAATTACTTACTTACTACTATCAGCGAGACAAACAACACCTCTTTACGCGCGAATTCAGTGTTAAGCGGTTCCCATAAGCTTTACCTTTAAAGCTAGCCTGCTCATGGTTTCCGCGACAAAAGATCAGACCGGCGAACAAACCAGCGATCGATCTGCGCGTGTTATACAAACAGATTTCAAACAATCTCTTCGACCGTTAACTTCTTGCCAAGAGCTTGATCGTGTTATCGTATACAAATATTTTTGTTTAACCGGAGACTCAACCATTATTACTCAGCAGATATTTAGTTATTTTTGTATATTGCATATCCAACGAGTACATTGAACTTGGACCTTCGATGGTAAAAGGTCTTGTAGCATACATGCATAGCGAGCGAAGAAGAGAATGCAGCTGACGTTGCGTAGAGAAAATCTCGACAGAGTTCACGACGACTGTCGAAGATCGTGGAATCTGGGGGCAGAATTTTAATTCGAGATACAGTAAAGTCCGTTGCAACGACGGACTCGTGAAATTCAAACGACGACACGTTTTGATCGAACCAGAACCGGTGCGAGGCGCGCTTTCGCGGAACCATTCACGGTGCGGTGAATTCACGGTAGTTTTTGTCTTCGGACGAACGATTCCCACGAGCGGGAATAGCGTGTCGCAAACGGCGTCCCGCGTTGGACACGCAGGGTTTCATTTAGTTCGCGTATCGGTTCATCGAGAGCAGGATACCTTATTTCTATACGCCGCGGCGAGACGGCTGGGCAAACAACACTGACCTCGAGGCACAAGTACGAGTGACGTCGAGCATCGAGTTCTTTTCTCGCGGAGGAAACGTCGCGTTGTTGGCCGATCCGCGCTTTACGTGCATCCCCGATGCTCGTCCGATGCACCTCATTCGAACGAATCCAACGAAATGATCGGGAAGAACGATTGCAGGAAACATTCACCAAAATGATCGTAGCACTGACACCGGGCATCCAATTCCGTGTAGCCGAAAACACTGGTCGAACGAACGCACTGAATATATTCCTCGATGCATCGAAACGTCCCTCTGTACGTTCGAGCCATCCACACCTTACTTCAGACCGGAGAGACGGGAACGAATCGAGTAGGACCAGTTTCGAACGTGACTCGAGAACGTATTACCGAAACCGAAAAACGCGCCGCGAAATGATTTCGTAAACAAAAAAGAAACAGAAAAAAAAAAAAAAATAACGAGCAATAGCGTTGGTTCTTGCTTTTCTTTGTATTTAGCAGGACTTACGTTCGGCGAGCCTTCACCGCCCAATCCATATCTCGCGCGACGTATCCGGTGAACGTGTCACGATGCCTCTCGTTTGTTTGCGTGATTTTCTTCCGTGCCTCGGCAGTAACAAACAAAATATTGCACACTCCGCGCACGCACAACAGCACACAGCGTTTCTCTTTCTTTTTTTTTTTTCTTTTTTAGCCGTATTTCACCATTGGTACGACTCGCCGCACGACGAGCAGCTTGCACTACGCGCACGAAACATGTAACTTTTCATCCGGCTTTCGTTCGTGCACGAGGAAGACGACAGGAGGTGGGGAAGAGGGAGGGAGAGAGAGAAACAGGAAGAAACGAGGCGAGGCGAACGAAAAACCCACGCCGAATCGACGCACAAGGGGCCAACGAGCACACGACCTACGATACACGCTCTACGACGATCCGACGAAGACTGAGCCCGTGGACGCTCGACGACTGCGACGCGCATGCTGCGCCGCTCGATGGTGGGGGGAGAGAGAGAAAGAGAGAGAGAGAGAGAGAGAGAGGTGGTACAGTCACGTACAGACTGCTTTGAGCGCCCCGAACCAACGATGTACCTACCGCGCAAAGGCGTACGCTGGAAAACTCGAAACCTCCGCTGTAATGAAACAAGTATGTAAATTAAAGACCATAAACGTCAAAATATCTTATAATTCATTGCAAAGAGCAAAGGAAAAATTGTTGTTCTCTTGGTCACTATGTACGAGTTATACATGTATACCTACGTATACATGGTTGAAATCACGATAGAAACAGTAGAAGACAACATCACGACGTCTAACTGTAAATTATGTAAAATCTGAGAGTTACCGGAAAATTAGTACCGAGCGAATCTGTTAAATTTAAGGTGCAGACTAATGTTCTTTACAAGTCACGTGTATGGGACTTTTATTTCTGCGAAACAACTTCGGGCCACGCCAATGGCTCGCAATGCCGCGTTTATATTTTAGCGTCTTAACTCTATTCTCACGTTTAATTTGTGTAATGGGATTTCTTCGAACTTATTAGATTGTTCGTGCAAAACATATTTTCGGAGGATTTCGAACGACGGTAAATTTTGTCCCCGGGTCTCTACGCCAATGCCTAAGCCTACCCACTGCTGAAACGTTTACCCGGGGGGGGGGACTGTGAGAGAAGAAAGACAGACATATGGAAGAGAGAAAGAGAGACTAATAGTTGCAGGGATACGAGGGTTCTCCCTCGTGCAGTGGGGTTTCGCTCCCTGAACCCAGGCGATCGGACGTCGAATTAACCCCGGAAAAAATGTGTACGTGTCCGCGTGCTATCGACGCACGAGTACCACCATGAAGTACCGCACAATTTGCCAACTGATTTTATTTCAGAAAATCGTCGATGACTTTTCAACGTGGTTATACATATACGCATATACCTATATACAAAACGTCACAACCTCCATTATTTTGTTGTTTTCAACAAATAAATAGAAAATTAGTTGCACGTACAAGACGTAATATACGCCGCAAGAACCAAAGAAAATCGTTGCAACGCCATTTGGATGTAAAATTTTATCAACAAAAGAGTATATGCACGTGCATTGGCGCGAACGATCGTTGCAATGGTCGAGCAGCTTACTCGAGAAATCGATAACAGAGGAGATTCGTTAGAGATACTCGGCTATAGTCTTTCGCGCAGCATGAAGGATCGGCCCTTACGAGTCTCCTGGCTTGGATCTGATATTAGACGCATGCACACGCACACCAGGATACCGCTCATCCCTCCCATACCAGCTGTTCCGATGTTGAGTCAGCCTGTGACGGGCGTGTATCTGGTATCCACCATTTTAAGCGGCCAAGATTCGATTTCCCTAATTTTATTACGACACTTGCATCGTTTAAAACTTTTCGAACGATGCTAGCTCGTGTCCGTTTCCTTTGAAATCTCCGTTGCTAGAAACTATTTGTTTCGCATTTCTCTGCTAGACTCAACGCGCGTGTCGTTCCATTTGCCTTCGGAGAGTACAACGTAATAATACGTCATAAAGCTACGGCGGGCATTTCTCTGTCCGGTGGAGGGCGGGGACAGAACTCTTACCTCGGCAACAGAAGGGAGAAACGGCTGGGCAAGTTCAGTTTCTACGGAATAAAAGTCCGAGCACGCGGGTTTCGCCGAACGAGCGGACGTTCCCCGCGCGGTCGTAGCACGGACGAGAGAGGTTCAAGGCCAGACACGCCGAGAAGGGCCTTTTTCGAGGCTCGAGGTACCTGGTAAAAGGAAGTCGGACACCCGGAGGACCAAACGGAATGACAAACGCCCGATCGACGGTGAAGGGAAAGGTGAAAGGAGCGTCGAGGACGGAAAGAAGGTCTCCGGGGGCTCGCTCTCTCTCTCTCTCTCTCTCTCTCTCTCTCTCTCTCTCTCTCTCTCTCTCTGTGTGTGTGTGTGAAACAGAATTTAGGTGTGCCTAACCACGAGATCGATATCAACGGTTCATCTTCGTAGAAAAATCATAACTAGCGTCCAACGCGAACGAGCAAACATGCTCCGACTACATGGCGTTTCTTTTTTCCTTCGAGCGCGTTCCTCTCAGTTTTTTTTTCGATTTCATAAAGCGACAGTATCGCTCTTCTCGTCGCTGAAAACCGAGAACACGCGACTCGAATAATGAATTAGTAATATCGCGTTTCGAAACGAAAGCGACTGAAATCGATACGAGTACGGTAAATGAATTTCCCGAATTCGGAGGGGCGTTGCTGCGAACGGCAGAGAAATCTGAAACGAAAACGAAGAATGTTATGCGCGTCATCTTCTCTCGGTCGACGATGCGATTAAATAGCTACGCGTTCAAGGGCATCGAACACGAGAGAGCAACGATACGATCTCGATGAAATTAAAATCGTAATGCATATGTACCGCGGGCAACACCAGCGGAGAGAGGAGCGTTTGAACGCGGAACGGAGAGAAAGAGAGCGAATAGAAACGGAAAGTCTCCGAGATTTTAATCCCAGACCCATTGAGACGAGCGGGATAATTACGGCGCAATATCGTGCAAAATAATAGCATCAAAAGCGCGGGATAATTAAATTCCCCTCGAAATTCGAGTACCGTAACCGGCTGCCACGGATACCGCGGGACGCTTCGAGTGCGATTCGGTCGTGCACGGTGCATCCCCTTTAAACTTTTCTCGAACCAAGTATGCATACTACCGTCAATTCTATAGAAATTTCGCGAAATAACCGAACCAATTTATGAGGTCAATGAAAAATTTTACGTAAACGTATCAACGGTTAATTGTCAAAACACACCCGTATTCTCTTTACACGACGTACATCGACTGCACCTTGTATCGAGAGTTGGGTGTTTAACGTGGCTGCGGGAAAAGCTTGCGCAACGAAGAAGGGAGCCAAGCGTATTTGTTCGGTTGACACGCGATTCCGAAAAATCAAACAGCCGTCGAGAACAGGCTGACATTGGAAGTTGCAGCCAGATCAAAGGAATCGCGCAAGAGGCGCCCAACTTTCGCTTCTTGGGAACTTTCCTTGGACTCGTGGATCGAAGAACAAAGGAGATTCGCAACATAGTCTCGAAAAAATAAGAAAGGGAAAAAGACGAGCGGTTTTATAAGAGGAAAGGTAAAAGAAGAAGCAGGCAGGCAGCCGCATTCGAGAGCCACATCGTGCTCTCTAACTATAACTTTTTGAAATTTCAGCAGGGAAACTCGGCATGCCCGTAAGTCCCTTTGATCGTTCATCGAGTTCGACGCCGTGGCAACGGCAAGCACTGGACGGAGAATGCAACGGCAGGACGGAGCCGCGGAATTTCGAAGCGAGAGTAGATTGCCGGAACGAGTAGTTCGCCAGAAGAAAAAAGCGAACACGCCGGAGAAGGAAGAAGAGGAAGGTCATCCGTGGAACTTGGTTGCCAACTCGAGCGACACGCCGTGCATTGTATGCAGATCGTGCAAGACCGTAATTACAAATAGACGAATCGTTCTATCGTTCCAGTCGTAGCAGAAGCCTACAGCTTTGAAAAACATGGGCTGAAAGTTTGTAAAATTTTTCCAAAAAGAAACAAAAATTCCTAGCAAGAAAATTATATAATCAGCACCATTTACGAAAGAGATTTTGCGTTTTCGTTAGTCGCAGCTTTACAATTCAAATATTTTGCAACGAGGAAGACACCACTAGTGGGAAGATTAAAAATTCCCGAGATAAAGAGGAATTCGGAGCGTTAACTTTCAAGAAAAGGGCGCGACGTACCGTTGGAAAGCAAAAATGTTGCAACGACCGTTTGGAAGCCTCGTTACGTTCTCCAGACCTAACCCAGGCCTCCGAAATCGCGAGGGAATTCCTCCGACGTGGAGGACCATAAAACTGTCGAGGACACTCCTCGACAGTTTGTATCCTAACGATCGGAATTTACGCTCGATTCCGGCGAGAGTCTCGGAGAGCTGCCTGGGTCAGCGGTAGGTTCGAAACGTTGCGGTGGTTTGGTCTCGCCGGAGACGGTTCTCCTCGGATGAACTTTGTTTCCACGTCGGCAAGGAGAGGAAGGACACGCGAGTCGGCCGGAATGACGGGTCTTTGTGCTCGGTCGGTCGGTTGGTTGGTCGGTCGGTCGGTCGGTCGGTCGGTCGGTCGGTCGGTTGGTCGAGTCCATCCAGTCAGTCCTCTCGCAACGAGAGAGACTATCTTTGCCCGGGTCCACGAGGAACGAGCAGAAGACGAAGAAGGCGGACGCGCAACACGCCGCGGAGGAACAGGACGAGCAGAGAGAGGGAGGGAGGCAGGCTCGGATGTGAAGTGAATGTCAGCTCGAAGGTCGGCTTTTGTCAGGCCCGGCCGGAGCAACGGAGAACGAACCAGGAGAGACGCGACTCTCTTTTAGCTGGCTCCTTCTCCGTTCCTTGGCTCCTCGCGAGACGACGACTCCGCGCCGCGATGCCAGCCACCTAGATCCATTTATACATCGCGCATTGCTCGAGCCTGCCCGCGATAGATAGCGCACTCACGGGACAATGACCACGCGCGAGGTGTGGTTGATGCGACCGGCAAACCATGTCGTCTAACGAGAAACGGCACTTTCAAGCCCTGCTGCTCCACCGTATGTCGCGCGAACCTTCTTCCTGCGATCGAGAAACCTACGACACCTGGAAATACCGTACCGATTATCCACGCGTTCCTATAAACGCGTTAAACGTCAAACGATATCGCGATATAACAGCGTGTGTCGACGAAAAAAATACCACCATCGAGATTCTCGTGCAGACGATTGAATCGTAAGCTGCGCTGATAAATCGATCTAGCGATCGAGACAATGGTGGAGCGGCAAGGGGTACGAGTTGCGGTCGACACCGATGGTCTTTGGCGAACAGAGACGCAACGATGTATATGCTTCGGCTGGTCGGACGAAGATCGATGATCGTCGAACGGGAGCGAGCGATAGGACGCGGTCGAGGACGAGGTGCATCCAAGTTCGTGCGTCCAAGTACGCGCGTACAACGGAGACAAATGGTAAATGGAAGAGGAAAAGGTCGGCATTGGCCATATCGAGAGTGCATAGCCCGGGGCCGTGTACGCGCGCGGAACACTCCAACGCAACGGTGCATCGCTGCGCTGCAACCCCGCGTATACGACGAAAATCTTTGCCAAAGCTGTTTCAACGTATCTACTAATTATCGTCGCGCGACAAAATTGAAAATTCTCAAAGTTTCTGAA